CGTTAACGCACTCAATCATTCTTCACGCTGCCAGCAGCTGAGATATCATGTCACATACGTTTATGGTGCTTCCGGGCGTACTACAGCGTTTCTGACTGAACCAGACGCATTTGTTTGATGCGGCAAGGGCAAGTAGTGAATGATTGTGTATTTATTCCTCACACTTTTTTGTACATTTGCATCTATTGCAACAAACACACTGTGCAAAATTCAAATTTCACTTTGTGTGAGTGGGAATATCTCTGATGTCCGATGTATCGGTCTTATGAAGATTATGATCCCCACAACGGAAACATCCGTGGTACATGTGGGATAGGAGAAATTAAAATATATGTCACTCATGAGGTAGTAGACTAGCTGACGGCTTAGTTATATAGAGGGCCTCGATCCCGTTCCTGGATGGAGCGTACAATGTTATCCTTTGTGAGTATGCCAACGCGCACTCTTTGGGTCGAAGCTAAAACTTAAAATAGGTTTTTCTCTTTATCCAATACGTATTGATGGATATAACGACATCTTTCCTCTACGGAATAAATCATCTTCGTAAAATACCACTACTTTGATATTCAAAATCACACTAGTGCAATGTGAAATTAGTAAAATTGTGCAATACTGATTGTACCAAAAGAGTAAGGTTTGAGACACCCCAATAGACGAAAAGCGTTTCTTTTCGGGAGAGGATCAGAAACTACCAGTCTGTCATTTTTCCCAATTATTAGTCTAGTCCGTTAGTTTTCTACCACCCTAACGACGAACAAGACTTTTAGTCGCGCGCAAAAAGCCTGCATAGGTGGTATGAACACTAGATACATCTGTTGCTTCAATAGCGCCATGACGAAAATGCCTTGTTTACAAAGGTACGCTCTAGCCCCTATTCTCGCGCATGAAGCCCTCGCTTGGAGACTGAGCGTGACGTGGTGTTGATCGAAGCAGTGGAGTCCATGACCATAACAACTTTTCGAATCCAATTCTGTCTGTCATTGCCCTTCGACACTGAATTTACTCTATTGTACTTTTTACCAATGTCAGGTTAAGACATTCACCAGTGTGGTGGTAAAGTCCTATGTAAAGGTATTGTACACTATTTTTGGCTCATTTTGACCAAGAGTGATTGACAACGTTGGTGAATATTCGCGATAGATAAATATTAAAATGCGAGCTTGCAATCGTACTTAAAGCTTTATGCTCAACCGCGCGGAGACACCAAGGATCGAATGTGGCGTGTGTCTTCACATCATTGGTGCAAACTATTATATTCCCCTCACAATTAAGCTTCACTTGTACTCGTCCCCTTTAGACGATCACCAAGAGGCAGACCCCGCAGAGAGAATTATGTCACTACTGAAAGAGATCCAAGCAAATGCAGCTGTGGCCTGGTGCCCTATGAAGCGGCGAGCAGAGCTTTTAGCGCTTGGATCCAAGGGTGACGGAGGCGTCGGTTTCGAGAACAATGGTGGCGAATTTATGCTTGTTTCCATTGACCTGAGTGACCCAAGTCGTGAAATGGTCACGCTCGGTTCTATTAAAACAGCATCACGCTTCACTTCACTGGCTTGGCGTGACGTGCCGCGGCACCACGACACGTGTCCATACGGTATCATCGCCGGCGGCATGGCCGACGGCTCTGTGTCTCTTTGGAATCCAGCATTATTGTTGAACCGCGACTCAAACGCTGATGCACTTGTATCTTGCGAGATTGTTCGTATTACTCGTCATAAAGGTGCAGTCAATGCGCTGCAATTCAATCCACATGAAGACAGCGCGCACTTATTGGCGTCAGGTGGAAGCGACGGCGAAGTTTACATTATGTCTTTAGAAAAGCTAGCTAGTCCTGGCGTCTTTACACCTGGTGGTCCAACTACACCACAGGCTCAGGCGAACGAGATCACTTGCGTGGCATGGAACACTCAAGTGAATTACATCCTGGCCACAGGCTCGCAAAACGGCTCTGTGGT